CACCCATGAACACCCGAAACACAAGTGCGTTACCTGCCTTTTGGGGATTAAATTTGGGGCTTGTTGGGGAGATTGGGGACAGCCTGGGGGGGGGTTCATTTTTTTTTTTTCTTTTTTAAAAAAACGTTGCTCGACATTAGGATTTTCTCCTGTGTCGTGGGTGCGTTTACAAACATACAAGTTCACATACAAAATGACACCCAGACCCGAAACAATTTGTGGATCACAAAAAGTGTTGCTCCGTGCGGGAATCGAACCCGCGACACGTTGCACGGCAGCCGCACCAACCGTGCAGTCAAATTAGAAGTCAAAGTCAAAGCATTTATTTCAATTAAACCATAGTTTGGTACTTTTGAAACGTCAACAAATACAAAATAAATAATAGTCTGTCAGTCAGTCCGTCAGTTAAATTAAATTGGGTCTAGAAACCTTATCTCTCCTTAAAAAAACAACGTCTGAAGAGCAGAAATGTTTTCTCACCTTGAGTGGTATCATCAAAATTGTCATCACAGTGTGGACTACTTGGTTTATCTTCTGACTCAGTCTTTATTGTAACTGGGTTGAAAATATCTGAAACGAAATAAGCAAACATTACAATAATATACAGTGAAACTTGGTTAAGTAGGACCTGGATAAGTGAGAAACCTCAATAACTGGAACTCATGCTGAGGCCCCAACACTTTGGCACTGAATTACCTCTGTTAGTGGGACGAGGTAAACCTCTATATCTGGGATTTGTTGTTTTGTAATTCCAAGTCCACCTCTATTAATGGAACCCTCTGTAAATGAGAGAGATATTTATACCTGTACATCTGAGACACTGGATAAGTGGAATACCTCTATAAGTGAAACGACATTGTAGGTCCCTTGATGTCTCACTTAACCAGGTTTCACTGTATTTTTAAATTGGGGTTTACATTTTTGCGCTCACTAGATGGCGCTAAGATAGAATAAAGTCACCTTTGTTTTATAGAATATTTTAATCGATTAAAAAAAAGAGCTTTTCATTTTGTTTCAGCTTCCTGTATGTATGGGTGTATAAACATACACCGATGCGCGATTATCTTTATTGTTTTTTCAATTTTATTTGTTAGAAAAGTAACATAACATAACATCATGCCTTTTTATCCCCGAAGGGATAGGCAGAGGTGCACATTTCGGCACTTAATGCCACTGTACAATGTAACACCCACTTTTCACTTTTTACCCGACTGCCAAAGAAGGAGGGTAATGTTTTTCGAGTGTATGTAAGTATGTATGTATGTCTTTTCCTTTGTGACCACCTGTAGCCTAAACGGCTTGATGGATTTTGATGTATGAGGTATCGTTAGATTTGTCTTGATTACGGGAGTGTCATAGGATACATTTTATCCTAAAAGTCCCACGGGATAAAGACATAATAATATTTTTTCTAAATTTCCCTTTAAAAAAATATGTATGCGGTATCATTAGATTCATTTCAATCACGGGAGTAATTAATATAGGATACGTTTTTTCTCAAAATTCCCACGGGAACATGTTAATTCTGCGTCAACGCAAAGCAACTCATGCGTTAGCAAGCAAAAAGATAGGGCGTGGCCTGGCATGCGGCGCGCGGCGCGGTGCGGAGGGGGATATGCTCGAGTATACAGCCCGATTGCGGGCACACGCATGAGGGCACACGTCGTTGACGGTCGTCTCTAAATAGCGATTTTATTCGATATATCCCTATTTGTATATATCGAAATAAAAACAGCTAAAAAGTTATAAATAAAAAAATTATTATTAAAAAAACAAAATACCCGACTGCACACTAAAAAAAGAGTAAAACAAGCCCCACAATAATATTGATCAATCAAATGCTAAAAACTAATTATGTAATACCGTTTAAACAATACCTATATTAAAATACACTACAATATGTGTTCGTAATCGATAGTTAAATAAACAGAAACTTATTTTGAATACAAATTTACTGAATATAATTTATAAATGTTGATGGAAAGCATCGCAGGCGGGGACCACCTTGACCGCCACCAACGAAAATTCTGCTAAATGGTGCACAACCGAAATGACTATAAATAAGCCTCTGTTGGTCCCCGCCTGCGATGCATTCCATCAACATTTATAAATTATATTCAGTAAATTTGTATTCAAAATAAGTTTCTGTTTATTTAACTATCGATTACGAACACATATTGTAGTGTATTTTAATATAGGTATTGTTTAAACGGTATTACATAATTAGTTTTTAGCATTTGATTGATCAATATTATTGTGGGGCTTGTTTTACTCTTTTTTTAGTGTGCAGTCGGGTATTTTGTTTTTTTAATAATAATTTTTTATATTATAAGTCCCATGTAATAGGGGGTGAGCCTATTGCCATATACCGGGCACATTTCCAGACTCCGTGCTACTACTGTGAATTTTTTTTAAACCCATTAGTACTTTGCCCGACCTGGGAATCGAACCCGAGACCCCTTGCCCAGCAGTCGCACTTGCGACCACTCGGCCAATGAGGCAGAGTAGATATAATACAATATCAATAATCTCTCTCTGTTTTGTGCCTTTAGACTTAATTCATTCTGTCTCCTGCAGTAATTCACCGAGGGAAGTGAAAACTATAGTTTTTTTTCTTCTCCTCTTATAATATCTTCTGATTTACTTCGTTGCGGGAACCAAGACAGTTATTCATGTCCCTGGGATGCGCTGGACTTCAGTGTTCCGGTGTTTTCATGGTTGTATCCACTATAGGTCCTGGCTTACAGGAGTTGCAGCGGTTTTGGGAAGTTGTGGCGGGCTTGTCCCATTAAAAAAAATGACTAGTAGAGCTTTTTTCGATATATTCATTTAGTATGTCTCACGATAGTTATTATAAAAACAAAAACGTAAGTCCTCATTTAACTGCCCAGCTCCAAAGCGGTCATCGAAGACAAATCTCTACTTACTTGGAAATAAGGTCTATAATGTAAGTGGAGAGTGGACACCAGTGACTGCTTGGATATTAAAAAGTTAAGGTATAAAACACAATACCTTTTCTACTGCTACAATAAGCAATAAAGTGCCGCTCCGCGTCTTCGACTTGCTTGCGAAAACTACAAGCATCTCTCAAGTGCCCCACACAGAGGTCACATACCATCCTGCTAGGGCCCCACTCTGTGATGTATGACATCTGAAAAGTAAAAAAAAGTGAAAATAAAAAAAAATATTACATAGCTAATGAATTCATTCAAATGGTTCAAACTGAAAAGTTATTTTTGTGTTGGATAGTCAGTGGCGTACCTAGCACAGGTGGCACCCGGGGCAGATTTTGTAAGTGTCGGAAAACTAAATCGGAACTATTAAAATAAAATGTAATGATCATTTACATGGACTGGCTCGTTGGCCGAGTGGTCGCAAGGGGTCTCGAATTCCCAGGTAGAGCAAAGTATTACTGGGTTTTTAAATAAAATCTTAGTAGTAGCACGGAGTCTGGAATTGTGGCCGGTATATGACACAATGTTACATTGTACAGTGGCATAATGTGCACCTCTGCCTACCCTTTCGGGGATAAAAGGCGTGTTGTTATGTATGTTATGTTTTATTAAAGTATGAGTATTAAGAATATTTGTGTATCATATGAAACAAATTTAGTTTGTTGAAACTGTGTCTTGTCCTTGATTCAAATTTAGACACTTGTCTAAGTAAGTAAGAGACATTCTGATTTCGGAGTTTGCAAGTACAAACTCCGAAATCACATCTTCAGGTTGCTTCATTGCTTCATTGCTTCATGTTCTATTGTTAAAATATTTTTTTTTGGTCTATTTCAATATTTAACTTCTTCATTTATGCAGAAAATATGTATTTTTAATATTGTATAGTAATCACACCATATTAATTTATTTCTTTAAATCCTAAACCATTAATTTACGCGTATTGTTATTTTTATCTGTTTTTATAAGCTGTAAGATTTATTTATTATTTTTTACTGGTCAAAAGAACTATGACTGATGGTCATAGTAGGTCTCAGGTGTCACCCACAGTGCAGTAAGTCTCCCCCCCCCCCCCCCACGCACAGGTATGCCACTGTGGATAGTCCAGTTAATAAGGTAAGGTTACACAATTATGCTATGTAATATAGGGCTGAGCAGTGACTTAAACCGTCAGGGAGTTAGTAAGGGATAATTCAAATGAGATCCTTGATTACACCTCTTTCCAATTTCCAATAAAATTCTAACAAATATTAAAAACCCAAAAGAAAACGAATATTGTCTGTGTTAATATTTTTACAATCTAATAGATACTTAGATTGACGAATGTGTCGACATAATATATTTTTTTTATATTAGATGGGCCGACGTCTGACCGCCATCCCACTATATTTTATGAATTGTAGAATCCGTACGGAGAACATCATTAAAATATAAAAAATGTTAATATTAATTATATCAATAAAAAATTACGAATTTTTTTAGCATAATAAATAGCCTTTATTGTTTAATTTAATTTGATAAAATACTCACCGAAATACCAAAGCACTCTCGTAACATTTCATAATAAACCTCTTTGCTTCCGGCCTCCGTGATATAAGACGCGGTGATATCCCACGTTCCGCTTGCAGACAAGCAGCACCGGCACACATCGGGCTGCGAACTCCAACTCTCAACATTATCTAAATCCATCGTTTTTATTTATAAACAAAACAAAAAATATCAATAAAAAATCGTCCGATTACGATTTGTTATGTTTGTCAATTTTGAGTTGAGTGCCATTTGACAATGACAATGGGAACGTTTGTTTCTGAACGATTTTACATGGAATAGTAATAGTTTTTCCTATTCTATGGATTTGTAATCTGTGTTTTGCTATTTAATGATGAAGTCATTTGATTTATTAATGGACGCTTTCCCTTGAGAAACTTAAAGCAGAGATTGAATGGACATTGCTCAGAAATAATAAAAATGGTAATTTGGAGGCTCGGATGTTATTTTCGAACGAAGTGAACAGCTGACATTGTTTGTTGACAGTTCATAATTTGGCAATTTCATTTCATTCAATTGTGGCGGTAACCGACCGGTATTTCCTACTGATATTGTATTGTACGTATGTGCATCGAACATTTTGTAAATTCGCTACAAGTACATTAAATAAATTGAAAATCTCATCTTCTTTTGAGATTCACAGATAAACAATGCGTAACGTTGAAATAAAAGCTAAGATAACCGATTATGAAAACATCTGTAAAGTAGCAAATGAGTTGAGCGGTGGGCCGCCTACAATCATAAAGCAGGATGATACATTCTACAATGTCCAAGAAGGTCGGTTAAAGATGAGAATTTACGCCGATTCCGCAGCCACTCTAGTGAGATATGATCGTGACGATGTGGAAGGCCCAAAACTGAGTAATTACGAGTTATTAGATTTTACCGTCAACGAGAGCGAAAAAGCTAAACTTTTAGATGAAATGCTCAAGAAGTGCCTGGGTGTTCGTGGAAGAGTTGTTAAAGAACGGTAATGTTAATAAAATACATTATTTTAATACCTAAAGTCAATTTTATCATGGAATGCTTAACCTAAGTCATAAAAAATTATCCTTCCTACAATCGGGTAATAACAACGCCTGTATATGCCTGTCAAGTTACTAGCACAGATATGGTAAACCCTCCAGTAGAGGTGTGTAGTTCAATATTTCATAATTGAAATGCCATTTGCTGAAGAAAGAAATTATATATATAATTATATGAAATATAATACAGAATTCTTACTCCTACTCTGCTCTTTTTCCGAAAGTGTAGGCAGATACATTTCTGTGAAATTATTTTGAACCCTTAAGTACTCCATTAAAACTCATTGTAATAAGGCCTTATGCCATTTCAGATGGGGCCCAATAGGGCTTATGCCGTTTCGGAGCCGTGGAGAACTTAGCGGGTTACTGGGGCTTCGACTCTGAAGTGTAGGAGTAGGAACAGGGTGGTTTTTAACCCTTGAAAATTGATGAAATTCATGCCCTAAATTTGTTCATACAAAAGTAGTCTCTAAGCATTGGAAATTAGGTCTATAACGTATTTAGTCGAGAGGGATATAAGGTTCAATCAGTAAGAGTCTGACACTATCTCCCGCCTCCCCCAGGCGAGAGAAGTCATTCGATGATTATCCCCATTAAGAAAAACATCATACACATTTCAGATTTTGTCTATGAACATGTACATTGGAACAAAAACTAATCAACCTCATATTTAATTTCAGCAAACTCTACATGGTTGGCCAAACCCGGGTGCATATAGACACAGTACAAGATTTAGGCGACTTTATGGAGCTGGAAGTGGTACTTCAACCAGAACAGACCTTGGAAGAAGGTCAGAGTATAGCTCAGGACCTTAGAACTAAATTAGGAGTAAAGGAAGAAGATCTAATTGACTGTGCTTATGTTGATATGTTGCTTAAAAAGTAATGGTTAATTGTCTCTGTCTTTGTTATGTTCTTTATTTGAAGTTTGTTTTTTTTTTGCTTTTATCAATGGCAGATTTGTGAAAACTGCTTTCTTTTTTTTTGTTAGCTTTTTTGTAAGAATATGAATATTTTGTTAAAAAAAATATTTTTGTAAGGTTTGGATTATTGATTATTAAAAATTGTTTGATTATTTTATAATAATAATCATCACAATAAAATGTATTTGCTATTGAGCTTGAGTTATTTTTTGTATTTACTTCATTTTAATTGACGACTGCCTCATTGGCCGAGTGGTCGCTAGTGCAACTGCCGGGCAAGGGGTCTCGGGTTCGATTCCCGGGTCGGGCAAAGTATTACTGGATTTTTTAAAATACTCAGTAGTAGCACGGAGTCTGGAATTGTGCCCGGTATATGGCAATAGGCTCACTCCCTATTACATGGGACTCATAATATAAATAGTGGAAAGCGGGTGTTACATTTTACAGTGGCATTAAGTGCTGTAATGTGCACCTCTGCCTACCCCTTCCGGGATAAAAGGCGTGATGTTATGTCCATTTTAATTAATTGTGGTGTGAATGTGATGAAACATAAAGTATGTAAATATCATAATTGGTGGTACTAATCAGAATGAACTCATTTTTGTGCTTGTGATTATGAGTTCCATATGAGATAAAATTCAAAACCATTTTTTTCAAATTAGAAGACTGAAAACCGTATTTTTTTCTATTAGAACAAAACATACATTACTAATTTCAAACATGAAACGAAACGGAAACGTCAACAATGCAATATTCAAAAAGACGCCAGCATGTTAACCTACCCCAACCTGTCAAATTACTACGGTCAATTGTCAACCTTATTGTAAACCCTTAAGAGTAAAAATCAATGAAATAATATTGACATTTTATTATAGAATGATTTGCTAGCGTCTACATCTACGGCATTGGAGTTTTTCGACAATAATTCCCAATTTCAATTATGTTTCTTTAAAGTTTGAATAAAATAGTGCACAATGGAGACTAGGAAGAGTAATACAACGTATGGAGAATGCCGCTGTTGCTTAACAAAGGGAAACCATAGAGATATAATGAAAGAATATTATTTTAACGGCATACGAGAGGTTTACTTCGATATTTTCCTGGAATGCTTCAATTTATTTGTAAGTTTTGTATATTTATATGTAGAAAAGATAATTATGAAACTGTTGACGAAGTTTGGTTGTCATATTCATGTTACACTGAGTTAAAATAACATGTTTTGATTTGGTTGCTGTGTTGATGTAATCGTTTTGTTTATTTTCATTTATTTAGGCTTAGTACGAAAACACATGTACAGGTGGACTTAATGCCTTAGGAATTGTGTGACAGTCAACCTCATTCCTTAGTTTATTGCAGTTCACTTCTCTTTATATCATGTCTTTCGTTATTACCATAGAGTATCTTGCTTACTTGTTCTTTTCTATACAAATATACAGTTTAAATGAGCTAATAGCTGCACTGTAGGACTGAATGATAAACATACTTGTGTACCTAGGTTTCTTTATTTGTAAACACACTCTATTGCACTAATTTATATTAAATCAACCTGAGAATCAAATAACAGTCATACTAATAACAACTTGACAAACAATAAAGCCCAAAATCTATATTTAATAAAAATGAATTTCCATTTTTTTTTATGGCATAAGCCGGTAAACGATACGGGTCACCTGATGGTAAGCACTCGGCATCGCCCATGGACACCTGGAACACCAGAGGCGTTACAAGTGCGTCACCGATGTTTTGGGGATTAGGTGTTTGAGAATCGTTGGGGATTCAGGGATTGGGGAGATTGGGGAAGGGGAAGGTAATTAGGCCTCCGGTAACCTCACTTACACGACGAAACACAAGCGTTGCTTCACATCGGTTTTCTGCTCGGCCATGGTATCACTCCGGTCGAGCCGGCCCATTCGTGCCGAAGCATGGCTCTCCCACACTTAAAATTATTACTCCATCCATCCATTAATTACTCTTGCTAAAACTTGAGAACAGCTGAACTGATATGGCTAATTTTGGTCTTAAAGTGTTTTTGCATCCACAGGGAAGATTTAAAAAATGAGAAAAAGAATATATTTTCGCAGTATATAGTTTTCCGGGTTAGCTAGTAATAATAATATAATTTCATTAAATAATTAACTATTGTTTAATCCTGTATGTATTTATTTAATAAAATAATGTATAAAATATATGCATGCATATATATTTATGTTGTATTTATATTGTATTGTAAATTTTAAATATTTTTTAGTATCTATATTTATAAAGTCTATTTATGTTATTTGTATTTTTTTTTTCGACGATTTCTTATTTAACCCTAACATTGACTGGGAGAGAATGCCATATGGCATTAATGTCCGCCTTATGTACCATCACTTGTTTCTGTGTACATTAAAGTTTAAATAAAATAAGATTTAAATAAGGATTATTTTTTAAATAAATCCTATATAATTCCACTCTATTCCAGCTATCAACGAATGCACTCCTATCAACACTAATTTGTACAACATGTGTGCAACGTCTCCGGGATGCGATCAGCTTCCGTATGTTGGTGGTCAGCACAGAGAGACAGCTGCTACAAACTGTAGAAGGCGAGGATAAGGACACGGTTTTTGTTAATGGTATGATATTTAAAAGAGAATATTCTTGTAAGAGGAATCCCTCGTCGTCGAAAAGTGGGTGTTACATTGTGCAGTGGCATTGAGTGCCGTAATGTGCACCTCTGCCTATCCCTTCGGGGATAAAAGTCTTGATGTTATGTTATCTTTTATCGACATGTAGTCTCTTAGTCAGGTATACAACACCCGATTGAAGAATAGAGGTGCTGACAGATATATTCTACTCTACCGCCATATTATTTTATTTTATACATTTTGTAAACATTCCAGTGCGCGTAGAAGTTAATGAATCGACAATGGACATAAAAGAAGAAAAGGAGGTTGGAACTGATGTCAAGGAGGAGCTGGAGTCTGGTGACGAGGGGGACGCAGGAGACGCAGATGTATGTGACTCTGATTACGTACTTGATGGTAAATATTACGAAAAAGTTTATCTACCATTACATCACTAATTTCAACTCACAGATACTGACCTGGGAAGCTTACATTCACACTTGCATCCACTCTTTCATTCACCTACTCACTCGACCACGGGTCTTCTCAACGTTCTGGCTGGGGGCGGGAGGACGCACGATCCAGGCCGTTGCCTGTCTCGCCGGATTCACTAGCTGCCTGCAACAGTAGGCGAGGGGTTGGAGTAGTCGGGCTACTTGCGGGGCCCGATGTAGAGTCAAATCCGGTGGTTTGCGCCGCTATGAGCCGCGCTCTAATTGGGCAAGCGGGGCGAGCGGAGGGCCGTTAGCGGCGCGTGATCGTGTCCGGTGGGGGCGAAGTCTCTACCAACCCGCACTATACATGATTTGCATTCTACACATACATAGTGCGAACTGGTATTTTCGCATTAACTGTTTTCCATTTTAAATATGCTCATTTATTGCCTGGGCGATTAGAATTGTAGGTTCAAATTGATTTATTTTCTTCTCGTTACCGTTACCGGACTTTTGAGGATTGTTGGGGATTCGGGACTTTGGGGAGAGGGCCTCCGGTAACCTCACTCACACGACGAAACACAACGCAAGCGTTGCTTCACGTCGGTCTTCTGCTCGGCCGTAGTCTCACTCCGGTATACAGCAATATAAAAGTGTAATTTTCTTGCTTTCTCCCGGTCTTTTATCTGCCTACTTAAAAAACGGACCTTATTTTATTCCCAATCCAAGTATCGAATGTATTAAGAAAAGACATTGTACCCTTTTGCAGACAATACCTCAGACACACAGGATAAGCCACTAGTGGACTACGAAGTCCCGTTAGTGGACCGGGAAGCCGCCCTACTGGGCAGGTTCGCTCGCGTCAAACTACCGCCGCTGCCCACGCGACAGACGTTGCCGGAGATCTGTCCTGAGTACTGCCGGCAACTTGATTTGTTGCAAAGTAAGTTATAAATAATATTATACTCTTATTAACACAAAAAAGATTAAATATTCATTTTTATTTTTTATGGGATAACCCGGTAAACGAGCTGACGGATCACCTGATGTAAGCAATCGGCGTCACCCATGTCCATGGGACACCCGGGAACACCAGAGGCGTTACAAGTGCGTTACCGGCGTAAGGAATTTAAGGATTGTCGGTGATTCAGGGATTGTGGACTTTGGGGACGAGGGAGAGGGGTGATTGGGTTTCCAGTAACCTCAATCACACCATGAAACACAACGCAAGCAAACATGTAAAAATTATTCCAATGCTTTTTTTCACCCATGACATTCCGGCTCTACTCCACCGCAAGACCACCAGCCACCATTCAGTAACCAGCATTATCATATTTTCCCATTTCAGATTTAAAAATAGTGCCAAAGAACCTAATGAACCTACTGGAAGAACAAGACAGTAGGCGGACACCTTCTAGAAAAGTCTTCATATCAGAGAAATTAGCCCACATTACGAACGCGGGCACCATTCTAGAATGTTCCAACGTTACCCCTTTCAAGAGCAAAAGTCGACTAGGATTCCCCTGCTTCTTCTGTAGAAATGTCTTCGAAAACCACGAAAAACTTCGCGAACACACATCTCAACATAAAAAATCAGAAATCAGGCATATACTGAAAACCTATGGCCCAGAATGCTTAGTCGTATACGTTGATACCACAGACCTGAAATGCACACTATGCGACAAAAATATGCAGAATTTAAACAATTTAAAATCCCACCTGACTAATGTTCATAAAAAGAAATTGTACCCAGAATTCACTGATAGAGTGATTCCGTACAAACTGTCTGATTCTGGAGTACATCAGTGTCAAGTTTGCGGTTTTAATTTCGAAACGTTTGGCTCTATAGAACGGCATATGAATGTGCATTACCGAAACTACGTTTGCAAGGAATGTGGGACTGGCTTCGTAACGAAATACAGACTAAAAGTCCATACAAAGAGCATGCACGCTGGTGGGAACTATCCATGTGAAATTTGCGGTAAAGTATTCTCAACGACGCAAAAATACAAGAATCATGTCAACACCGTACACAAGTTACTAAAAAGGTTCAAATGTACGAAGTGTCCTGAG